AGCCATTAATTATCTCTGTCTGTGGCCCTTGTATAGTCACACTTGTCTCAGTATATTATAACTAATCAATGACTCTCCTTCTCTTTGGCCCTGAGTCCCAGACACCATTATTGGTTGGGCTATTGTCCATTAGCACTCTTACCTGCTTACCAGCTAGTATGTCTGGGCCAGGCACTGCATGAGGCCAGGGCCCTCTCCCTCCCATTGTTTACTGTCAAGACACAACACAATCTATTACTAGCACTTGTACAATTATACTGGAGCTATGGTCCTGTATTGGTATAGATCTAGAAATAATTTATGAGAGAAATGTAACTAGTAGGTCTACCTTTGTCAGATTCTTCAGTAATTGTGATCTTCTCCCAATTCTAATGCAACACAGAACAGACATACATGGGCATAGATACACATTAGTATGATATAATGTGTACATGTACATGTACATTGCTTGATATGGAAATGGATCATGTGAGATCAATCTGCTATAAATGGAAGACTAAAGGAGACCCAGGCTAAATATGAAATATACAGGTACTAAAAGCTAACAGTGGGGAGAGTTCAGGAGATCAGGAGCCAAATATGAGAGACCAAAAGTCTCCTAAACTCCCTCTAGATCTAACAGTGATTGTTCATATATTACGTTCCCATTGATGATGTACTCGTGTGTTGTGTATTAATGTATCTTACACCTCCTCAGGTTATAATCAATGGCCTATTTGCTGATATCCAGTCTAACGATCAGTTGTTATTATCATCATTAATGGATCAATACAACGAGTCTGATCAATCTTATACTTCCATTCCTCAAGAATCAACTAATATCAGTAACACCAACACTTCATTATTGAACAGGTACAGATACAGTGTATATACACACATACTTGCCATTCGTATAGTGTAGCTTGGAAATGTGGTTGAGTAGAATTTTAGTGAATTTGGTAAATTACATTCCATTTGTCATAATTTTAGTTTGTAGTTTGGTTAGGCTTGTCTGTAGCATCAGTCAAATTTTGCCAAAATTTTTAACCTCCACACCTCTTTTAGAATCGATTTGCCATATTTTAACACCAACTGTACTCTAGTTTATTTTATTTATTTATTTGTTTGTTTTTAGTTTCTGTGAGAGTTTTAATGATCTTTTAAGTCCATTAATTGATGACGTAAAGTCTTTCGCTCAAGCTCCACCCACTTCGCACCAAGCACTGGTAAGTCATTAATAGTTATTAATAGTTATTATATGTATTATATTAATAGGAGTCGTTTCCGTTTGACTGGTATAAAGATATTAATACTATTAATGAATACATTGTCAGCTTTGTACCTACTTTTATCAACAGGTAATTAATTATTAGTAACGTGGGAGCATTACTAAGTAGGATTTATCCTACTTCAAAATGGCTGCCACGACTTTTACAGCTTTGCTAATAATTTATTATTATTACGTTGTTGTTGTTGGTCGTAGGTTTCTTGAAGAAATTGATAAAATCATTAATTCATTGTTGATTAAAATGAAGGAAGATGCTGTATTAACTAACGGATGCATTAACAAGTGAGCAATATTAATAATAATGTTTATTATTATTATTATTAATTAGGATCCTGTTATTGGGAAAGTTGTGTCATTCTTTGGTGGATTCGTGTCCGAATTTATTAATAATCACCAGCTCAAATCAACACACCACCAGGTAACCCTTTTATGATGAGGACATTTTGTAATGTCCCAATTGGTACAAGCCTATACAAAAGTACCTCTGAAATGAGGACACCTCTGTATTAAGGACAGGTAGTGGGGCCCAAGGGTTAATACCA